TATATTATCTAATTAAATTCTAAATCTAAAAAGTTTGATATATTGAAAAAAAATTGACACACTGACATGTAAGTACTTACATTAATAGTATTTTAATTTTATGTTGCGTCTTGAATTTTATTTAAGTAACATAAATATAAAAAATATATAAATTATCCAAGATTTTAAAAAAATTATTTAAATGAAAATAATTTCCAAATTTTATCATATATGTATTTCATTTTTCTGAAAAAAAATTATATCGTTAAAATCGTGATTAAAAATTTATTAAAAAATTCTGGAAATTTTAAATTAAATTATTTTCGTATATTATATTTTTTTCTTTTTTTTTTTAGGATTCATAAAACTACCTATTGCACAGTTAAACGCTTTGGCAAAATTTTCCAAATTAGATGATCAACCAATCACTCTCAAACCGTGCGATTATGCACATTAGACTTTGCATTTTTTATTATACTTTCTTTGTCATTACCAACTGTTTCATACCATAATTGTAAATCAAATTTATATTAACATTAATATTTATATTGATATATATATATATGATTTTTATCGTTATTGTCATTATTATTGTCATTTATATTACCATCATTGTCATTACTATCAATACTATCATTACTATTACTATCAATATCACCTTCGTTATTCCAATCATCACTGTTCCCGTCCTCATCATTCCATTCGTAATCACCGCTATCATTACCATTTTCACTATAATTATCATTTTATTATTTATCATTTTATCACTTTATTTATTATTTAATTATCATTTTATTTATTATTTTTATTTTCATTCTCTTTATAGTTTTCATTTTCATTCATATGAAATACATATCATTAATATTCTTCATTTTTTCCAATTACTTATTTCTATAGATTTAATATTATTAATTTATTTTTTGATGATTTTTCGATTATATTTCTCGTAATTACTTTCGGATTAATTTTTCGAGCCTTTTTTGTCATTGTAAAATTTTTTTTGTAACTCTTTTTATTTGTTTTTTCAATTTTTTCTCATTCAAAAGAAATTCCCTCATTGATTTCATTATTAATTATTAATTATTAATTTTTATTATTAATTCTTATTATTAATTCTTTTCCCATAAATTATACAATTATTCATTCTTTTACCTATCATATTTCTTTTTCTCGTAACTTATATTCATCTTTATCATCATTTTTCTCATTATCATCTTTGTCATGATTTTTGCGTTTCTCGTTCTTGACTTTCTTCTTCATTGCTATTTTTATATTTTATCATTGTCAACTGCGTCGATTTCTTCCTTGTTTATAAATTTACATACATTTATCGCTAGATAAGAGATATCAATAAAATTATTTCTTTATTTATATTTCATTTTGATAAATTAAAAATTTTGATAATATTAATTTTTATAATATAAACATTAGAATATATAATACGTAATAATTTGCGTTATATATATACATACTATGAGATACTACTATGTTTTTTCGGCCCAATATTCTTTATCAATGTATATATAAAACTGTTTATATAAACGATATATAATCCTATCAAACGAATATAATAATAATGTTTTGCCATTTGTATATTTTCTCATACCATTCAACTTCGTTCATTATTAGGCAGGTCATCTGCTCATCCTTCAGATGTAAAGAATGCAACATAAACGAAATAAATATAAATATTAACGATAAAATATTTGTCTCGAATTATTAAATATATTTTATTGAAGAAATACCTACAATCCGTACAATACTCTTTTGGCAAATTTTGTGGCATTGAAAATCATTAGATTTTAATGTTCTCTTATTGTACTATTTCTATAGATGCAAAATATTTTTAATTCATAAATATAATTATATCGATATTTATGTTTTTGTCTCATTATTTCTATATTTTTATGTTTTGTGATTCCTATCTTTTATTTTTTTAAATTAAAAATAATGAATGAAATGTTAAGTATTATATTAAACATATTTCGTTGTATATAATATATTTTATTAACTTCGATAAAAAAAAATTAAATAAATCTTTAAAACGATTTTCAATTTTTCTTTGATTTATAATTAATAAATTCCAATGTGTTTCGTTTTGAAAAACGAGGATTATATTTCGTCCAGTTATCATATGTATACTCGTAGAAATCTTCATATCGATCTACAATTTGATTCATACTTTTCATTAATATCTTTGCTATACAATAGAAATATTAAAATTAGATATATTAAAATATATTAATATAAAAGATATATTAAGATATATTAAGATATTTTTATTTAAAAAATTTAAGTATATATAAGTATACATAATATAAGATATATAATATTAGATATATATAAAATATCTAAGAAATCATTCTTGCTTATCAAAGCTTTTGGCAAATATTATTGGCAAATTTATCGTTCTTCTTTTAATTTTTCATTAAGTGATTTTTTTTATTAGATTCGATATCCATTATAAATTTAAAGGATAATGTATAATATTATTAATATTATCAATAATGATGCCAAATATAAATATACTATAAGAATCATTAAAATTACTATTTATTAATCATAGTTGATTCAAAAATTTATTATTAAACAATAAGATTATTTTATATTATATGATTACTTACATAATCCATATCATATTCGTATCATTTTAATGAGATAGTCAAAAAAAAAAGGGATAATAGGTATAATAAAAAATCGATCTATAAATATATAGATGAAATAATTTGCAGATATTCAATATGTAAAATACATAAAATCTATTGCGGTTGTTGAATTTATATGTTTTATATTTACGGAAAATCGGAATAAAACGGAAAATCCTTGAGTTTCTTGATGATAAACAATGATAAGCATATCATGTACATATTTATATCAATTCTGTGTAACATCCTCTTCGTTCGCATAACTTTGACAGAAATGAAATAATGCTACATATTATAACAATGTATATAATGTATTTAAGTATATGTTTAATAATATGTATTTAACATGTAAAATCCTGAAATTCATTGCGTTAAACAGAAATATGTATACAATAAATCGTATTTATATTTGGACATTATAATTCGAAAGAGGTTATTCTTCTATGATATTAGATTATAATATATATAATAATATTAATATTAATAGATATATTGATATTGCATATCATTGTTTATGAAAACCTACTAAACTATTTATAATATTATATAACTATTATATATTTTAATAACTATTATAATATTTTATAATATAATTATTACTTACTTTACGAATTTCTTGTTATATACAATAATATACATATACATATTATATACATATAGATATACATATAAATATTCGAATTCAGATTGTTTTATAATATAAATACCCATTTTAAACAAATATTTATTAAATATTATAGAATTATAATATACAATTTTTTTTTTTGATTCTGTAAAGTATTTATGGAATTATATTTACTATACATTTAGTCTACCTAAAGCAAAGATCAAAGATTTTTCAAGAATCAGTGCCATCTCGCGTTTGGATCCTGGAAGCTTCGATTCGTTAGTAGGAACATAGAATATGTAAGGAGGTATTTGTGACTTCATAAGTAGAGAAGGAGAATAATATTGTGTGAGAAGGATAGAAAAAAATATATCACTAACTTTGCTTGTGCATCACCTTCCCAATATCTTTATCATTTTGTATGTTGATAATTAATTAATTATTATTTTATATTTATTACGCAGAAAGTTCAGTCATAAACTTTTCATTAATTATTAATTTATTTATTTAAATAACAATAAAATTATAAATAAAAATTATGTATGAAAACAGAGAAGAAAATAATGTCTCTGATATATTTATTGATATTTAAAAATAAATCTTAGAGTAATAAGAAATTAACGATTAACGCATCACATCAAACTGTGACGCCATATAATACGCAAAATGATTTTCATTAATTTTTTGGTATTGTGAGATTTATCTTTAAATATAAATATATATATATCAGAAATATTTATTCTTTTTCTATTTTGATATACAATTTTTATACATAATTTTATTGTTGTTGATATATAAATAAATAATTTTATAACTTGATTAGAGAATAGGAAATTTGTTACTTAGTAAGATAATCTCTGTAATACTTAATTAATAAATAATTGATCAAAAAAAATTTCACTTTAAAATTGATACGAGAAATCGTCCGTAGTTCTAGCTTCAAAATGCAAGCTTAAAAGTATATAAATTTTTAATAAAAAACTTGTAATTAATTAATATTCAATGTTATGTTTTTGGTAAAAAATATTAGATACAAAGCTAATAATATATTTTTATTTTTCTTATACAATATTACTCTCCTTTTCTTCCTATGATGTCATGATAAACCTCCTTACATATTCTATGTTCCTACTAAATAATCGAAGCTTTCAGAATCCAAACGCGAGATAGTGCTAATCTTTTTTTTCGATTTTTATTCTTCGTTAGAAATCTACAGAATTAAAGGAAGAAATTGGAATAGAATATTAATTATTATTTAAAGATTTTATTATATAATTCGGAATATCGTAAAAAGAAATAATAAAGAAAAAATATTCTCGGGAAAAATAAATATACTTGAGAAATATATTAAATATTATAATTTTGTTTTATAAGATATGATTAGGAAAAAAGATAGCATGTGAAACTTTTTTATAAATTTTTAAAATTAAAAATTTTTATTTAAATTTTGCAATTTTTTATTAGAAGAAAATATAATTTAAAAGAAAATGATACAAAATATTCTTAATATTTCCAAAAATAAAAACTTTTTTTACAAGATTACTTTTTTCTTTTTAAAATTTTTATATTACAATGTATGATTTTAATATTTGAATTTTCCATTATATGTATAAATATTTCATTTATATTCGTACGACATACGATATACAGATTATACAGAATTCAAAGAAATTCCGCAAAGAATTTTAAAATCATCAATTCATTGATGCATTTGCTAATTTAATGTCAATTTTTTGTACTGTTTTAATTTCAATTGCTCAACTTTTTAATTTAACTTCAAAGTATATCTTGATCGTCCACTTCTTGTCACTATCAAACTATTAGACTATTAAACTATGTGAAAGATACAGAGGATGATGGTGAAAGAAACGGTAGCATCGCATATCTATCTAGATGCACCAACATCTGAGCGAAAGGGCTGCGCAATTTTATTTTTCATCCACGAATGAGATAACGTGTATAGCTCTAGGATGCACTCCAATCTGAAGATATATATTGCACAAATATACAATACATGTTAACAACATTGCCGTATAGATGATGGTGGAATAGTTAGAGACTGAATATCCGTGACAAGAGAGAGTAAATCTGAACGGTAGTCTGTTACTCGGTCATGGATTGCTTCAAAACTGATACGAATAAGTGAAATAAAATTCATTGATTCATCGAACAATAATTGAACTTATGCGTAAATTAATTAAATTTAATTATATAATTTTTAATAAATATAATAAAATATTTACAAAAAAATAAAAATATATTTTAAATATACCGCTTTTTTCTGAAACTGAATAGAGATTTTTTGTAGATAATATATATTATATATATATGTGTGTATATGTATGTTGTACATACATATTAATTCGTTTAGTGATTTTTGAAAAAAAATTATAAAAATTATATATAAAAAATATATAATCTTAATCTTAAAATTATTAAGAATCAAGAAGAATTAACATATTACGATAATATTATAAGTATATATCATA